GGTAAATCTATTGATCCTTTATAACAGAGTGAAGATTGAGTGGCCTGCCCTGAGGAGATGGACGTTGGAGCTAAAGGTGAGTGTTTGTAATAACTGATGATCACTGCTTTAAACTGCTGGGATTAGAGCAGGGCTCCATCTGCCTTTAAAGGTCTGAGTGATGATACCAACCCCACTTATTATGGGAAATATCCATCTTATAAATATATATTACTTAAATCATAGAGGATTCATTGCATTTCTCATCTCCATCAAAATATTAATTTTATACCGAGAGGCTTAGATGTTTAATCAAATCCATTTATAACTTCTTAGAGCGCCTCTTAAAACTTCAAAATAAACTCCTTATCACAGGCCTGGAGGAAGAGATGCTGAGTTTGGAAGCAGAGAACAAACATAGTTCATATCAGATCATGGATGATCCTAGTTATCTAACTAACAAAGATCCACAACAAAAAGAAAATATTTGGGCAGAAACTGAACATATGCTGAAAGCTGATGGGGACTTTTTTTATATGTCATATTAAAATAAACGTTCACAGGGTTCATACAGCTCTTTTAATGCTATTAGAAATTATTTTAATGCCACCAAAAAGTACCATGTACACAAGTTATTAGTGTACATGAAATATGAAGGAGCTGTAAGAACAGTTCCATGACTGTTGTATGAAATTAGCATTTTCCCCATTCTCAAGCTTTTTCTCCGCCTCGAGCTTCTTTTCCAAACATACAGCTTTATGATCAATGGATGATCTGGTGGAATTGTCTCTGTAAAGTGACCTGAGATGACGTGTGTTGGCGCTAAAGAAATAAACTAAATTAAAGAGGAATAGAGTCACTGGAAAAGAAAAAAAAAGCTATGATTTTAATTTTATTTTATTTGAGTTTAATATGGGGGAAAAGATAGAATTCAGACTTAAATCTCAGTCTTTTTTTCCCATAATAAACTAAAATATTATTAAAAAAAATCGTAAGTATATTCAGACCGCAAGCAGCAGAAATGCGCGTGCTGCATCATTTCTGATGCTTTACCAGTTTAGTTCTGACGTGTAGCTGAAGCATCTTTGCTGCTCTGGCTGCGCGGTGATAAAGTGGGTCTGATGCGCGGTGGGCGGAGCTACTCTATCCTTTCTCTGCCTGGAACAATGGCAGCTATATTAGCTGT